GACCCCGAGCAATGATTTAACTCCTATAGACACCAGATGGATCTGCATTTTGAACAATCCATGGGTGCTCAAGAAGCTTATGTAGAGGTAGGCGTTGTGAAGAATCCTTGACAAGCATCTGATAGTTAGTTCGCGAGAATACTATCAGTCATTTTCTGCAACTCCATATTAATGATATTAACCAATTTACAAGAAATCAAGGAAGAAGAGGATTCAAACCTCACTAATAAGATCCTTTGCAGCTAAAAGAGACAATTGGTTTCGGAGGGAACTTCAGATCGATTTGTTCTATCCTGTAGACATCATAACAGACACAAAAAGTTAGTGATAAGAAATTTAAACTTTTGTTACAACTCAATTATTAAACTCGAAGCACATTGGGAAACTCATTTTCCAAATCACGCAGAAAGAAAGTCTAAAAAATAGCAACTCTAATATTGTAGAAAATGTTAGAAAGGTCACTAGAATTATGAAATACCATTGTCTCATACACTGAAAGGTTACAAGATTCTCATGTTCAATGGTGTTAATCTAATGTGTTTTCTTATTTATGTTCACTTTCTGTAGGTGTTAGAGTGTTTCCTGGCCTCAAAATGAAGGACCCGTTAAAAAAATTCGTAGCACAAACTACCAAGGCTCCAGATATCCACACTTGCATCATGCTCTACACTTTCCACTGTCAAATCATGAAGTACAAGAAATCAGTTTGATACTTTATTTGACAAAACCACAAAATAAGCCTAATTTGGATAAAAAATTTAAATTATTTCACAAAAATAAACCATCAAAATAACAAGCTGTCTTAAATCAAATATACTAAGCAAGTCCATTTAATAAATTTATTCTATTCACCTGCCCATCTCAAGAGGGAGGTAATTCAGAGTGGTCCTTCTGCGACTAAATGTGTGAACCAACCATATGAAATCTGCATTTTTCAGCTCACCCTAGCGGGTAAAAATCCAAATTGATGTTCAATAAGGACATGATAAATGAAAGACATAAAAAAGTAAGAAATTATTGATGTTGGTTATCACCTCAACACCGATCAGGAGGTTCTCTAGCTTAATGTTTATGTATATTATGTACGTTCCCATGACAATAAATAAGAATTCCAGCTAATAATGTGATATACTGTCACATATAAAATATTTATTTTTTTCTATGCGAATAAATTAGAGATAATAACGACTTCAACAGACAACAAATGAGAAGCGTGAATCCTAAACAAAAGGAGCTAGGCTGCAAAAGGACTTACAAGGGCAGCAAGCCTTACACTAAAGTATTTACACGTCCAT